ACAAGGACACTACTCATATTGGATTAGGGCTACCCTAATGACCGCCTCTTAACTAATTATTCTGTAACAACCCCATTTCCAAACAAGGCCACAGAGTTACTGGGAGTTAGGGCTTCATCATATAAATTTGGGGGAGAGACACTCAACCCATGACACCTTCACTAATAATAGTAGCAAATTATTCATAACTAATAGTAACATGAGGAAGAATCTAACAGATGTGGGGCAGGGAAAGGGATGGCTGAGGAGGAACTAATGCAGATATCCCTAGCCTCTTTGGCACCAGGGACCCGTTTCATGGAAGACAATTTTTTCATGAATTGGGAGGCGGGAGGCAGAGGGTTTCAGGATGAAACTGTTCCTACTCAGATCTTCAGGCATTAGATTCTCACAAGGAGCATGCAGCCTCGACTGCTTACATGTTCAGTTCACAATAGGGTTCATGCTCCTATAAGTATGTAATGCCTCCACTGATCTGACAGGAGGCAGAGCCCAGGTGGTAATGCTTGCTTGCCTGCCGCTCACCTCCTGTCGTGTGGCTGGGTTCCTAACAACCCATGGACCAGCACCGGTTCATAGCCTGGGCAATGGGGACCTCTGAACTAGTGGGGCAAGGTTTAGGAGAAAAGAGGGCTCTATCCACAGCATGAGAATGGGGCACCGGGGATGTACAGAGCCGGTGGTGGCCCAGTGTCCCTGCATCCCTGTTCTATACTGGATCAGGCTCATGAGACAAATCCAGATTATGATCAGACTCCATGTGGTCCAGGCCTCCCTTGATAAAGAAGTTATCCAATGGGAAGAAAGTGAACTGTTCTCGCCATCGTCACTGGCTTGTCTCTGGCTTGTAAGGACAGCCAGTTTCATAGCGTGTCTGGGACAGTGTCCTCACAAATTTGATTTGGTGCCAGTGATCTGGGGCTTTGTGGCAATGTTCTGCCCTGCTTGAGGTTACAGGCCAGGGTTCAAAGACCAGCAACCCAAAAGCCTGGTCACTGAAGTGTGGATGTTGGGTGGAGTATTCACAAGCACTCTACAGAAGGTCCAGTGTCTGAGGTAAGACCATAAACTCAACTCTCCTGATCAAAAAGACAAACAGTATTCGCTAAGACAAATGCTATCACGAGGACAAATGCTACCAGGATGATGAAAACCAATTTTCTGTCCATTTTTTTTTGTTTGTTCTGACAGATATGACAGATTTCTGGCAATAAAATGCTCCAGATGAAAGAAATAAAAATTAAATACTGTCTACAGTTTAACACTGCCACTAAATTCCATCTTTAGATTGGTTTTTGTGTCCTCCTTATCAGTTGACTACTTGATTGAGAAAATGATTGTCTGGATCAGTTATGGTATGGGTTGCATTGGCCAAGAGGTATCCTAGCCTCCTGACGTTGATACTGTAACTGTCAAATTGAGGCACTTCTGTGATGCAGAGGACACAGTTCCATGCATGAGCTTGCAATGCACAGTCTCTGCCATCAGGGACTCAACATTTTGGATTTAGTTTTCCATATTTGTTTCTTTGATTTAATGGAAAACATGTTTCTATTTCCTCACCATGCTTTTTTTGGACAGAATCTTGCTCTGTCACCAGGCTGGAGTGCAGTGACGCGATCTTAGCTCTCCGCAACCTCCGACTCCTTGGTTCAAGAGATTCTCCTGCCTCAGCTTCCCAAGTAGCTGGGATTATAGGTATGCACTACCATACCCAGCTAATTTTTGTATTTTTAGTAGAGATGGGTTTCACCATGTTGGCCAGGATGGCTTCGATCTCCTGACCTCATGATCCTCCCACCTCGGCCTCCCAAAGTGCCGAGATTACAGGTATGAGCCACTGCACCCGGCCCCACCATGCTATTTCTATATTGAGACCAGAGTTCATTGGTACATCTTTTTGTTCCCATCAGCTTTTCACCCCCTCTTGGAGTCCTGTCCCTTGCATTAGCAGTGTAGCTCAGAGAAGTTGCCCCAGGAAAGAATCACAGTGGAAAGCAGTTCTTCCCCACATGCATGCAAGTCCTCTAGCACCATGCATGCCCAGCAGCGATCTTGGCCGCGTTGAGGACCAGAAAGGAAAAGCCATAGTAAGAAACAGCTGTTTGGCTTCAAAATGTGTTGGTTTGCTTATGTTTGTAACTTGTTTGCTTTTTTTGCTTTGGGTTTTTGAGATGCTGGTGCTATTGGTGAGAATGGCAAGGACTCCTATGCCCTGTGAACCATAACCAGCTCCTGGCATTCCCAAGTTGGTAGCAAGATGCATATGGAGGTGCATGTCACATGCATGGGGATTGCCAGGACCCCATGTGGATGGATCCTTGGTGCTTCTCATATAAGGCAAAACTATTTCGGAAGCAAAATTGTGATGGGAATAACGGGTCACATACAAGACAAATTTTTTTTTAGATTTATAGTTTCCTCTTGGTTTGATTTACTTTTCATTACAGAATTATAGCTCTAGATGAGACATGATCTACAAACCAAACCACAAGCCACTTAGAGACATCAGGACGATGAAAATTAATTTTCTGCCAATTTTTTTGTTGTTGTTGTTTTGACAGATGTGACTTATCTCTGGCAAAAAAAATGCTCCAGATGAAAGAAATCAAAATTAAATCCTGTCTGCAGTTTAATATTGCCACCAAATTGCATCTTTAGGTTGATTTTTTTTGTCCTCTTTATTTTGTCAATTGACTGCTTGATTGAGAAAATAATTGTCTGGATTAGTTATACTGTAGGTTGCATTGGCCAAGATACCAAAATCATGGTCTATTTTTCATTCTGACAGTTTTACTCAGTAGACACTGTACCTCTCAGATAAGTAGGAAACCAGAGTGTAGGCTTCAGTCAGTAATGTCAGAACACGAATTTTTCTCTCTTGCTTCCTGCCTTTTCCTGCTCAGATGGCATGGGAACCCATCACAGTTCCCTCACAGTGGAGAGCAAGCTGAGGATGCTTGGTTTGCCCAGGCAGTGGTGTCAAGCACCAGGGCCCTGAGGCAGCTCCTGCCTTCCTCTCTCTGATGTTTGCCCCAGAGGAATGAGGATTCTTCTGGATTTTAGTACAGAATGGAAGTTGTCAGTGATAGCCATATGTTAGAAAAAGCCAACAGAGCCAGGCGCGGTGGCTCACGCCTGTAATCCCAGCGCTTTGGGAGGCTGAGGTGGGCCGATCACGAGATCAGGGATTCAAGACCAGCCTGGACAAGAAACCCGTCTCTACTTAAAAATACAAAAATTAGCCAGGTGTGGTGGTGTGCACCTGTCATCCCAGCTACTTGGGAGGCTGAGGCAGGAGAATTGCTTTAACCCGGGAAGCGAAGGTTGTGGTGAGCTGAGAGCGGGCCATTGCACTCCAGCCTGGGTGACAGAGCAAGACTCTGTCTCAAAAAAAAAAAAAAAAAGAAAAAGAAAAAGCCAACAGAGCAATAATGTTTCCAAAAAAGGCAAGATGCAGCTTTTAGAACGATTGGAAATTACAGTTGAATTTTGAATTATTTTCAAGCCACTTGAAGATTTCCAAAACCAATTTCATCAATTCAAACAATAGCCCTTACTGGTATAATTATCTGCATTTTACAGGAGTAGAGATTGAGGTACAAAGAGAGGATACACTATACTTGCCTGAGGGTCCCATGAAGCTTCTGACAATATGAGGGGGATACTGATACTCCTAACAGTATTTTTAGCTATTCAGTGGAAAACAATTGCATCACTTTTTTAAGATCACAGTCAATTAAGGAATCCACCATATTTCTGTAACAGGAAGAATGTTTATCTCTGTGTCTTGTCCTTCTGGTTAAAGGGTATTTGCTTCCTCTTCGGCAATGTAATGACCACACTGTGTCATCATTGGGGCTGTCTTTCTATCTTGGATGCAAGATTTTACCCTGTGCATTTGTCAAACTGCTCTTAGCTCTTGGAAAAACAGGCTCTCTGCTCCCATAAGGAAGTGAGAAGAAAAGAATTTTCCAGCTTTCTAAAAGGCAATGTGTGTTCTGTCTTAGCCACTTCCCATCACCCCCAGTCCCACCAGGAAAAGTCAGTATTCATTTTTGATGTCTGAAAGTAATTGCATCTAAGTTACCTTAACCAGACTCCATAATTCAAGTCAAAAGTAACCAAAAGCGGAATGAAAAACACATGGTAAAGAATGGAAACAGCACGTCTATTAAAATACATTTGCAGTTTGCTTTTATCTCTCCTTCCAGACATCCTGCCTAGGATTGCTGTCTTCTGCTCTGCACCAGGGTCCCCCTCCTCCCTTCCCTGAGCCAGCAGTCCTGGAAGGCAGCCTTTGATGTGAGGGCTCCCCACTCCTGCATCTACCTTCTGCAAAATTACAGGAAGAGGCTGGAAGCCTCTGCGCTGCTGCAGAGATCCTGAAACAATGCAGAAGTGGGGCCAGGCACTCAGGCAGGGATATTTCCACTTATTTTGTGTCACAGAAGGGAGGTGCATGAGAACACACGCACTCCCACACTTAGGCACAAATAGTGCCGGGGTGCAGATGCTGCTGAGGAGGTGTGGGGTTGCTGAGAATTAGCCGAGTTGCTTTGCAGCTTCTTAGAGATCTCTCCTCACAGGTCCTGATCGGTCCTTTGTGAATGGTGCGAGGTTTGGCTGTTTCTTTCTTTTCCTTTTTTGATAAAGATTTATGTTTATAGAACTGATCACATAGGAAGGCATTTCATTGGCTCTAGCCTAAAGGATCAAACTAAGCCATCTGCAGCGAATGGAGGATGACTGAGAGGGGTGCGTGGGAGTAAGAGAGCTGTCTTTGGCACTGTAAGGATTCAGGAAAGGAAAATGAAAACCTGCAAAGATGGTTTACAGCAGGGGACTGCAAACTTTGGTGGCAGCCCAACCAGGAAGTGCATTTTTACATCACAACCACTTCAAAGACCCTCACATTTAGTGCTACAAAAATATACTGTCATGAAAAATTCTGGAATTTCTTACTATGTGAAAAGCATTCTATTCCCTTTCATTCTATGTTTTCCTACTCTAGTTAATTTCATTTTGTTTTTAAAGATACACCGACCTCAATCCAATGAACTGATTTCATAACCCATAACATGCACTATGAAACTGACCCTGAGCTTGAAACACTTTATTTCAGTGAAGCCTGGACAAGAGAGAGTGTCTTATGAACTTGTGGAGAGGGTGGCAGAAAAGCACCCCAATTTAAAACAATGTCACGAAAGAAAAACGAGCTCCGGCGGTTGGGGATGGAGGTGCAACTCTTACATGTCAATAATCAATAGGAGAAACATGCCCCTGACTTTCAAACGGAGGCCCTTGTGAGGGAGTTACTTTGTCGATCTGCCTTCTAAGAAATTATACTTCGGCATTTCTTGTCTATCATGCGGAAAGAATAAAAGTGTTTGAGGTTGCAGGCAAGCATTTAGATGTTGAATAATCCCTCTAAACCATTATGCTTACAGCTAAGGCAGCTTCACGAGGGCCTGGGTGCCTGGGTGTGAGGCTTTGGGCCCTGACAACCTGCAGTTACACCTGTGGACCTGACATACTTATTAAAAGTGCTCTCAAAAGCACCTCAGTTTGGACCATAAATTCAAAGATTACCCTAAGTATGAATAGCTGAGGAAAGTGTATCTAGAGTATGCAATCTACTTTATTCTTACTGCTTTGTCACATAAACACACAGCCCATGTGAATTCACCTCTGATTTCTAACACCATGTTGCTCACATTCAGGAAAGGATCAAAATAATGCCACTGGATACCAAGTCATCCTGTCCCCAGAACTCATAGTCATAACAGGTCCCAGGCGGCTAGAAGACTGCTTAGGGTGTCCCCTAGTCCTTACCACCTGGAGGAATAAAGGCCCTTTTAGATTCCAGCCCTTGAGGCCCTGAGCCATCCCTGACTGGGTGGAGGTTTGTGTATACATGTAGAGGCGGCCTGTGCCACTCACAGGTAGAGTAGAGGTCTGGACATAGTTCAGCTGACATAGCTTTGGGAGCCAGGGGCTCTTCCCCAAACTGCAGCTCATCTCCAGCTTCTACTTTCCCGGCAACCCCACTTCTTTTGTACCTAAATAAGGCTCATGTCTTGTTGGCTTGCCCCCTCCCTGGTGGATCAGAGCTGGCTCGTTTGCTGGGCCTTGGAATCACATTTGGGATCTTTCCAGCCCTGAGAGGTTAAGCTCCTCAAAGGCTGCCAGCCTGACTTGGAGCCCGCCCACTGCCCCCTCCTGTGGGCAGGTCCACCCATGGCTGCCACATGACCACACTTGTCCTGTCCCTTGGCTCCGTATGTGTCAGCTTGTTCGCCACCTTGCTGGGCTGGTTCCTGGAGCTTCTGTCTGTCGTGACCTGGGTCACCACCCTCTCCCTGGTCACCTGTGTGGCCGGACCTTGTGTCCTTCACTGGAGCATCCTGAGCTAGGTTGCCCCAGCTTTTCCTCACCTGCTCCTCTTTCTGTGGGGATTCTGCTTCCAGGTCTGCCCTTGGTGGCTGCTCTACACATTGCACAGACACCCTGTTGGACAAGAGGGATGTCATGGCCTGTCCCCACACTGGGCTTTCATTTCTACTTTGTAACCTACTTTTACTGAACATCTATGGTTGCTTAAGAGTCAATAATATATTTGGAGATGAGGTGAAATGGATTGTTTTAAACCCTACCTTGATGAGATAAAACAATATTGACAGTTAACTGTGAGACTTTGGCATCCTATACTGCCAGGGAGAAGGGCAGAAAGGGACAACCTGTCTTGTTTAACGCGGCATGCAAAACCCGAATCTGGGATCCAGAGCTTACCATACTCCTTCCACTGCCACAAGGGAGGAAAAAGCACTTCATAAACACCAAAGACTTAACTGCACAATGCGATGGTCAAGAAATAGGCCGGAATTCAAATCACAGTTCTGCCTCTTAGTAATTGGTAGCAAAATGATGGTCTCCCAAAATATGCACATCTGAATTCCTAGACCCATGAATGTGACACCTTACGTGACAAGAGGGACTTTGCAAATGTGATTAAGGATCATGAGATAGGGAGATTATTCTACATTATCTGGGCAGCCTCCAATGTAATCACCAGAGTCCTTATATATGAAAGATGGAGTCAGGAGAAGCAGAGTGAAAAAGAAATGTGAAGATGCTGTGCTCTGGACTTTGAAGATGGAGGGCCACGAGCCAAGGAATGCAGGCATTTTCCAGAAGCTGGGAAAAGTGGGGAAACATTTCTTCCCTAGAGCCTCCAGAATGAAGCCCCGCTGATACCTCGATTCTGGCCGAGTTCAAAAAATGTAAGATAGTAAATGTGTGTTGCTTGAAGATGGTAAGTTTATGGTCATTTGCTACGGCAGTCAAAGGAAACTAGTAAAGCAACTATAGCTCCTTAGTTCAAATACTTTTTTGGATTTGTTTCCTCGTCTGCAGCCTAGGAATTGTAATTGTCCCTGCATCAGGTGGCTGCTGTCAAGACGGGACAGTGCAATGCAAGTCAAACGCACGACACACTTTCTGCCACACAACGTGGGCTCAGTTGATGGTAGCCATGGTTATTAGCGCCTCCTTGAATCCCTACAAGTGACTGACAAGGTTACTATATTATTCCCATTTTACAAATATGGTTCTGGGAAGTTAAAATCTTGCTTGTGGCCAGTGTGAGTGGCAGAACTAGGACCTTGCGCACAGGCAGTCTGACTCATCAACTCCCACCCCCCTTCCTTGACAAAATGAGAGTGTAGTGGAAGTTTTTAAAATGAATTTTAGGCCGGGCGCGGTGGCTCACGCCTGTAATCCCAGAACTTTGGGAGGCTGAGGCAGGTGGATCACGAGGTCAAGAGATCAAGACCATCCTGGTCAACATGATGAAACCCCGTCTCTACTAAAAAAATACAAAAAAAATTAGCTGGGCATGGTGGCACGTGCCTGTAGTCCCAGCTACTCGGGAGGCTGAGGCAGGAGAATTGCTTGAACCCAGGAGGCGGAGGTTGTGGTGAGCCGAGATTGTGCCATTGCACTCCAGCCTGGGTAACAAGAGCAAAACTCCATCTCAAAATAAATAAATAAATAAAAATAAAATGAATTTTAAGTGGTGAACAAGGGACCTTAGACTTGGATCCTAACAAGAACTCTGTGATCAGTGATAGGCATTGTTGGGGCTCAGCAAACAACACCCCAAAGTGTGGCGCTGTGGCTTGCTGAGTGCTTTGAACCAAAGCACACTGGAAAGGTCTCTGAAGCAAAGTCTCTCTCTGATCTTCTCCTATCCTCCTTTTGCTTTGCTTCCTCCCTTGAGGCAGGTCAGAGAAACCAGAACCACTCTTCCCCCAAAATAAAACCTAGAAATAGGCCAGGTACGGTGGCTCATGTTAATCCCAGTACTTTGGTAGGCCAAGGTAGGCAGATCACCTGAGGTCAGGAGGTCGAGACCAGACTGGCCAATATGGTGAAACCCCATCTCTACTGAAAATACAAAAAATTAGCTGGGCATGGTGGCACATGCCTGTAGTCCCAGCTACTCAGAAGGCTGAGGCAGGAGAATCGCTTGAACTTAGAAGGTGGAGGTTGCAGTGAGCCGACTTTGCACCTTTGCACTCCATCCTGGGCAACAAGAGTGAAACTCATTTAAAAAAAAAACCCTAGAAATATTACTCTAAGCTTTCCCCTGCCTTTTTGTGTAGGAGTTGGCCATAAAGAAATTCCTGGACCTACCTTGTCTGAAAGGAGATCCTAAGACCTCATTCCAGAGCAGTCCTGCCCTGTGTCTGTGGGGAAAGACTGCCCCATAAAGAGGCCAATTTTAATGAGAGCAGAGAGGCCTTGCTGGGGCTCCCCACTCAGTCTGTTACCACTAGGCCATACCCATCATGTCCAATCACATTTTTATACAACTATATACTCTTCATCGAATCTAACCATAAAAATGGCCAGTTTTCTGTTGGATCTTTGGGTCTTCATTTCTGAAACCTCCCATGTCATGAAATAAATTAGTTCGCTTTTCTCTTGTTAATCTAGATTTTGTAATAAGAACACCAGCCATGACCTTTATGATGGGGCGGAAGAGTTTTGTACCATTCCGACTCTACAATATGAATTACAGATAAAAAGTTTCTAAGATCTCAAATTAAATGTATAAAAATAGATTATTCACACCGTCCTCCTTCAAGAGACATTTGTTTAGTACCTAGTAGGCAGCACTCACTGTTGTAGGTATTGGCGATACCTCGGTGAACGAAATAGAGTCTCTGCATTCATTGGAGTTCACATTTTGTTGGAGGAGAGATAAACATATATAGGTATGCAGGTGAGTATATGTGTGAGATGGCAAGTAAATCAGCGTTAAAGAGCTAGAGATTGATAAGGAGTGTCATTTTAGATGAAGTATTTAGGGGTAGCTCTCAGACTGGGCATGAATGAAGGACGGAGGAAGGCGTGTGATTGTCTTAGGGAAGAGTCTGGCAGAGATGCCAGCAATTGAGAAGGCCCTGGGCCAGGGCAGTACTTGGCATAACTGGATCAGGGCAGTGTGGCTGGATCCCCTATAGATGGACAGGGAAAGACAGAAATGGGGCCCAGATCATGTAGGGCTCTGTTGGCTATGGTTAGAGTTAGGATTTTATTTCGACTTGGGAAGCTATTGGAAACTTTTGGGGAAAGGAGACACACTATCTAATTTAAGTTACAAACGTGATCACAAATTTTAAACAGAGACCTGCGGTTAAATTGAGCTCACATTGGCCTCTGGGGTTGCTTGGCTGCTCCTGCCCCAGGCTGGTGGAGGTTTGCTGACACTTCCCAGGGAAGAGCGAAACACAGCAGACAAAAGCAGAAGCAGCTCAGGGCAGCGTGCCAGGATCCTGCCACAGCTCATCAGCAGCCAGGGTGGAGGATATGCTGCCACTGCTGCTTCATAACGGCAGCTGAGGGGTTTATCAATCCTTCTACCCAACTCTCATGATTTAAACAAAGTTGAACTTGCCACTATGCATTTCCAAACTGTCTGACTTGTGGAGAGCCCTGTCTTAATTAGAAGGTCCTTATCCCGCTCTTCCTTGTTGCCTGCAGAGCTTTTCTTCCTGAGAGTGTTTGTAGACATGGAACTGTGGGTGTGCAGATTCCTCCCCTCACTTGGATGATCGCCCATGCTGGCTAATTTGAATACCAACACATTTGCACCTGCTCATAGGTTTTTGCATTTGCAGTTTGCAGGGGTAGAGAGACAGGGACCTAAAAGCAGTTTGTCTCATGCACTTTCCAGATCTCGGCTTTATGTGTTACACACGCTGTTATTTTTTCACTGAACCTAACTGATCTGAATGTCTTCTTTGACCTCTGTCTTTTGATTTTGGGATTGGAAGAGCATAACATTTGGCCACTGGTCCTTTATTCGATGTAAATAAAGTTGAAGTAAAGAGACTATTGTCTCTCACCTGCTTTTTTGGCTCCTAAATTGTATTTAAAGAGAGCAAAATATTACTGTTTCCTAGTAAGTTAATTAAAAGATTCTGAAGAAAATTGGACAGCTTTTCAAAAAGAATTTTACAGAGTTTAGAACATTTTAGCACTTCCATCCTCTTCTCTTCCCCCAACACACACAGACTCATACAGAGACACACACAGACACATGCAGAGACATATATACACAAACAGAGACACGTGTGCACATAGACACACCCACAGACACACCCACACAGACTGATACATTAGTAAATGGAAGATTCCAAATCAGAGAATCTACTCCTTAAGTAGATTATCATCAAATGTGAGTACTTATTGCATCCAAAAAATTCCATTTAAAAACCACATCCTTGTGCTATGTATCCAAAGGTAGGGAGTGAATATGAAACGTGATTCCCAGCCAGGATTGCAGAAGGGAAAAGTACTAGGCAAGAAGAAAAACTTATAGCTCCTTCCTTTGGATTTCAACACTCCTAGAACTCAACTGAATTACACACACCAGTTTGGTTCAGCAAATATTTAGTAGGCAGCTGTACACTGTGTGCAAGTTACAGTGCTAGCTCTCAGGGCTTAAGCAGGAAGCAGGGTGATGAATACCCTTCCCAAACTCTTGAGAAGGTACTGGAACCAAAGGGAGAATTAAAAATTAAAAATAAAAATAAGTTCAAAGTCCTCACTCCTTTTTTTTTTTTTTTTTTTTTGAGACGGAGTCTCTCTCTGTTGCCCAGGTTGGAGTGCAGTGGCATGATCTCAGCTCACTGCAACCTCCGCCTCTTGAGTGTAAGCAATTCTCCTGCCTCAGCCTCCCAGGTAACTGGGATTACAGGCACACACCATCACACCCAGCCAATTTTTGTATTTTTTAGTAGAGATAGGGTTTCCCCATGTTGGCCAGGCTGGTCTTAAATGCCTGACCTCAGGTGATTCACCCACCTTGACCTCCCAAAGTGCTGGGATGACAGGCGTGAGCCACCGTGCCTGGCTTCATTTTTAAGATGAGGTCCTTTCTCCTTTGTGGGGCTTTTCCAAGTTTCTCGTGGGATTAGTGTGAAGCTGGTATTGCACTGCCTGCGTTCAAATTCAGCTTCCCCTGTACTGCCTCTGTGCCCCTTTACTTCTCAGTGCCTCCGTGCCCTCATCTATGAACAAGGAAACTGCTAGCATTCCTTGTAGAGCCACCCACCCTGCACATCCTGAGAGAGAGAGAGTGTGTGTGTGCGTGTGTGTGTGTGTAGCGCTCACAACACTGCTGCACACACCATGAGCACTTGAACGCCAACAACTATTATCTCTCTAATTCAGAGCTTCATTTTATTTTAAATCTGGAATCCAAGTTAGTCTTATTCCAGATACTTTATGAAAACGATGTTTTTCTTTTTTTCCCCTTTTATTTTGGGAAGCCAAGAGACTTCCTTATTTCATCTTACAAAATGTTGGGTTTTAGAAGTATCCCAAAGAGAACAAAGAGAAGTGAGGCAGCCCTTGTCCTTAAGTCATTACCCAGCCCTCAACACATTTAGCACGTTTTCTGGTACCTTGGAAGGAATCTTATCACTTTCCATCTCCATATTGTTCACATTCCTTCCCACCTGTAATGTTCTCAGCCTCTGCTAATTCCTCCTTTCGTCCAGGTGCCATGTCCCTTGCTCTGTAAACTTTATCCCAAGTATTTAAAAACGTCCATAGATTTTTGCCCTCAATACCTGCAGCATTCATTTATGTCATTCAAACCATGCTGCCCATTGCATATGGCAAGAGGGTTGCTCTTTTGCCATTCAAGTCTAAAGCCAACTGGATTGGAAAGTACCGGAAAGAAAGACAGGCCAGGTGCGGTGGCTCATGACTGTAATCCCAACACTTTGGGAGGCCAAGGTGAGCAGATCACCTGAGGTCAGGAATTCAAGACCAGCCTGGCCAACATGGCGAAGCCCTGTCTCTACCAAAAATACAAAAATTAGCTGGGTGTGGTGGTGCATGCCTGTAATCCCAGCTACTCGGGAGGCTGAGGCACAAAAATCGCTTGAACCCAGGAGATGGAGGTTGCCATGAGCCAGATTGCACCACTGCACTCCAGTCTGGGCAACAGAGTGAGATTCCATTGCAAAACAAACAAACAAGCAAAAAATCCCAACAACAACAAAAAAGACATTATCTTTAACTTGATTTCACCCTCGGCAATGAATAGCATGGTTCTAAGCTTCAGTTTCCTTCTCTGAAAATAGGAGTAATAATAAAATTAATAATAACATTTGTCTATAGGGCTGTTGTGTTAAATGAGCTAAAACATAGTTCCTGAAT